ATATACACGGCTTATCCTTCTTGTTATCAAGACATGTCTTTCCTTGCGAAAGACAACCACATCCGGTGAACTTGTACGCGCAATTATCCACGGTACACCCGCAGAACTTTTCGCACAGAACACCAGCATCTACACATGCGCATGATCCTGGCATACATGGCCCTTCATGGTAACAGAGTTCGAGATATTCCCGGCGTTGATGGGCGTGGCTGGTGGTGTGGTCCTGCCAGTCACCTAGGAGGACCTTTCGCCGCCGATCGTACCACGGGAGGTTCTTCATTGGTGCTTCAGAAAGTTTGGGTTGCGGCAGTGAGATTCCCATAGATTTGAACTCGATGTGAACTTCATCACAATCCCGGTTTAAAAATTCAGCTGCTAAACATATTGGATCGCCTTGGTAGGTGCTGTCGTTAGCAGTTGTATAGAGCGATCGCAAAACAATCCTTTCATCCTCTGACCACAGCCGAGGATGCGATTTCACGTGTGTACGGTCACCGTCTCTCCAGTAACACTGTCGTCGACAGGGTTTGATGTGTGGTGTGGCACCGCTGTCGTTGTGCACGGGGCTACGTCTGCGTCGCAACGCTTGTGAGAACGACCCCATTGAAAATGTGTGCCTTGTGTTCTTGTCATCATACTCTCCATGGTCGCATGAGTGACTGAAACAGATCAAGCAACCTAGGATGCAATATGTACTCAAGTTTGATTCGGCTAGTTCGTCCTCATCTTCGTCGTCAACCCGAGGAATGATGGCGCCGTTTATAGCTGGGTTCGAACCCGTAATGTTATCCGCGGTCTCGTCCATAAGCTTCACGACTCTTCTGAGCTCTGCTTGCTTTGCTGGTGGCTGACCGTATTTAAACACGTGCTCAAAGGCATCGGTAAACATTTTCACTGCTTTCTTTACCCCCGGAGCCGCATTTAGGAAGTCCAACAACTTCCCCTTCTGCTGTGGCGACAATGTCTCATCCGACTCAAGGGCAAGGACGTTGCTGTACCTAATCAATTGCGACTTGCCACAGCCGGGTATTGCCATCCTTTGCAGCCACGAGTCCAGATACAGCGCCAGCGTGGCTTCCCGTTCACCCTGAAGGACAAGCTGCTTCTTCTTCTCGAGATTCGTGGGCTTGAATCCTGACCGACGATCCATATCTTCCAACTCTTTGAGCCACATGTCATACTGAGTCTCTTCAGAGCTTTTTAAGTCTCTTAGATGCGGCGCAAATGTCAGCATCGTGTTCGGAGCGAGAACATTCTTTTTGATTTCGACGGGATGAAATCGGTATGGTGGCACACGGTCTACATTTGTCTTTGTACATATCGGCGCATAATGTCCTTCTTCTTTGTCTCGCCCTCCTTTCAGATGTTGCTACAAATGTCATGTCAGCCCGTGTTGTTGATTAGTAAATTGATCTCAATCAGGTGTTTAAAAATGTACCTTGAATTTGATTCGCATTGTGTTGCTGCTCTTCCCCATCAAACGAGGCGTGCCGATGTTTGCGAAGAGGTCTGGTCCATGGCGAATTCTTCTTTCTGAAGCTTTGGTGGATTCCAACGTGTAGCCTGTCAGTTTGACATGGTTGTCCTTGATTTCTCCTTGGTGGATAGTCAGCCAGACAATGATCTTTTCCACCGTCCACTCAATATTTGATTCTGTTTGCGCCTTTGGAGTCGCGCCACTGCTGGCTAGCGGTTGATGTGGCACCGCTGCAGAAGAATGTGCCAGAAGATGTCTGTCGAGACACATTTACGGAAATGACCACTAAGCTATGATGCGAAACCGCACCAATGCCTATGCGTCTCTGTTGACGGTTGACGGGCAAACAGTTGACGGGCAAACGGGAAAGACTGACCCGGACCGGATGACTTCGCATTTTTTGGATACGCGACGACACGCGAACCACGTCTGTGACTGCGTTGGTCGAATGCGCTGAGACTTGGTATGACAGAGAGCGCCGGCAGCTCAAAAGGACTAGATGACAAAGACTAGCTCGGCCCACCTCCCCGTTCTTGTCCCTCGCCACAGAAGCTGCGGTAAAGCGCCCAAACAATCGATTATATTTACTAAATAACTAGCGACATAACTACCCAAATTGGAAATGGACATGTTGTCTCACGAAAATGAACAGTGTTGTGGCTGCTTTAGGGTCCGTACACCCAACAGCTAGACTGGCATTTCGATGTAAGAGTCGGTTACCATACCGTAAAACTTCTCGATAAGCCAATCGAGTGGATAAAATTTTTTGGCTTTCCACAGTGATGTCGAGCGGCTAACCGTCACGTCTGGCAAATCCGCTTCCCTTGAGTCCCCAGCTGCAGTGGGGAAAACCGTAGGCTCTAGTGGTGACTGCCGATTGTGAGTAACTAGCTGCGGCCAAATTTCCCAGTGTGGGATCTTTGCTGTACCGCCCAGATGGACAACTGGTTATTTTGACTTTGAGGCTGACCCAAAGTCTTTCCCGCCATACTGAGAAAGCTGGCCCGGGCGAAAGAACCACTTCGGCAAAGACCGGGCGAAGAAAAACTCCAGACCGCCCGTGAACCGTTCTTCGCTCGTTGCACTGGCCATGGGTATGAGAGCTAGGAGCTTCTGACTACACACCACTGCGTGTTACATCTCTGGTGCAAGGGGGTAACGCCCACACAAGGGAACAAAGATCCGTCCAGCAGTGTGAGCGCACAGCAAAGGCAAGCGCCATAAGGCGTATCATAGAAGTGGCGTAGTAATCGCAGTTAGATAAATTGAGAAACCTGATCAGGAATGTCATAAACAATATCCGCGACAAAGTCGAATGCGTGACGATTGAGATGGGGCGTGTATTCGATACCTACGACATGAAGCCAGTGTGTCCAACAACGAAGTAACTTGGCTTGGTTGGGTGCGATTGCTTGATACTTGTCAACCAACCTGCTTCCATTACTCGGCTTAGTTGCTTGATTTACTCGACGGTGTTGCCAAATGGATTCGTCCAAACTCTCTACAAGCTCTGATTGGCTGTGTGATCCCCAGCACCCCTAGATGCTCTCAAATATTTTGTGCAGTTAATTCTTCCCGCCGTATGGCAGGTCCACCCCCACCTACAAGTGCCCCGAACCACGCACTCCTCTGTCCAGCACGCCCAGCTCTGTTCAACCCCAACCAAGACGCTTGATGGCGGAGCATCTACACCATCCATTGACGACGAAAGGCAGGTACCGAAGAGCTCTCAATGTGATTTCCCCATTAAGTGGAATGTTATTCGCTATGACGGGAAGTCATTGCCGTCAATTCGATACCGCCAGCCTTCATGCTTTGTACCCACTGAGGATCTAACATATTCCCACAGATAAAGAAGGTCTTTATGGATGAACGAAATCGTCTCAAATCAGATATTATTGCAGCTATTGAGTGCTAGAAGCATCGAATCTGCTTCGGTCTTGTGTTTACCACAGAACTGCCTATTTGGGAAGAGCCGTCTCAAGTAATGTCTGTTGAAGGTCATGAATGAATGCAGGTAGTTGGGGAATGAAGACGCATAAAGGACTCCAACTCTTCAAGACAGACAAGAATACATCCTTTATTCCTTCAACGCAAAGTCCCCACAATAGTGCCACCGTATTTTTAAAAACACTGATAGCCTGCTCAACAAGTATCATGTCGAATAATAACATTCCAGCCATCCTTTGCGAAGGCCTGGCCAAGTACCTCTGAACTGGCTTCGGTACATTTCTCGAAAATCCTCTTGGCACCTTCCACGATATCCTCCCATCCGTCCAGTTGATACGGTGTAGCATTCTAGTAAGAAAGTGCAATCAGCACGGTCCACGGTAACATGGAGAGAGATGGGAAGATTTGCAAGGCTTACATCGTTACACCACCAAATCGAGGCACCCCAAGAACAACTGACTCGACCGCAATTTCCAGGCCCTGGTCCATTGCCCGGCTTACCTGCTAATCCGCTGAGATGTTGGATCCCCATTGCGATTTGTTCAATATCGGCTGGATCCCATTGGTTCGGGCCTGGACCGCAGTCAATCCTTTCCCATTCAATTATTCGGTCTCTACGGCGGTGTAGAACATTTGCCTCGGTGGCAGGTAGCGGTTTCTTGGCAGGATTCTCAAGTTCATGTTTTTGGATTGCTATTGTCTAGTAGATTGTTAGGAGCATTAGATGCATGAGTTGATTCATGATATCTGACCGTAGAGGAAGCTAGAGCGCACCACAAGAGTGCTGCAAACGTTGTTCTCATGATTTCCCGGCAATAAAGCTTTACGGGTTCGTGGATAAGACATGGAAAAGACTTAAGTAATTACTGGATGACCTTTTTTTGGAAGCTTCGTGCGGTAGGAGCTCTTGAGAGGATTCGGGCGTTACAAATTTTGCTGCAGCTATTCAACATGTTTGAAGAAATGTCATGAAATGACTCATAAAATTCGTCTCCCCTAAGTTCCCATGCGACAAAGGATTCTTCAATACCGCTATCCCTGGTGAGGGACCCATCCTAACGGCCAGGTGAGATGGAGAGCGGTTACCATGGGATGACACTTTCCGCACGCCGCGCGAACGTAGACGATTAACTCAATTCACACTGTCACGAGAACATCTCCCTCACGTCACAAACAAGACCCAGTTGAAGTGACCCCTCGCATCGTTCCCGAAATCAGTTCACTGATAGGCTTTGAAAAGGAAACAATCGGCTTGCCAGGAACTACTGCAAATACAAGGATCGTCCATGCCTCAGAGATGTGTCATGGCGACACCTGTACCGTACCCCTTGTCAAAATGATACAGATTATGGAGAGTCAATTAGCCTTAATCACTACTCAAGTCAAGAGGACGAAGGTCCCAGTTACATACACAATAGTAGTGCCCAAGTGGGCTAGGACGCTTCCTCGACTGGGGAGTAATATCGTTTGACAACCGTTTAGGTAACTATACGTCTGACAGCGCGGCATCTCAGGACGATCAATTTAGTTGTGCCTTAGATATCTGTTAAGCTCCAAACAAACCAACTTCGACATTCTTTAAACCTAAGAAAAGGTTCTAGACGCAGAGGCTGTATGAAGTCGGCTCCCGCTTCCAGGGACTCCACAACCGCCCTCCGAGCCCCTTGGCCGCATCACTGGTGTTCTTCTAATGGGAGATTTCCATCGATTCGCCCCCGTCCAAGAGACACGACTTATCACGGGGCGAATCTAAGGT